GAAGTATATCCTATGAGTTTTAAATCATTGTCTTTCTGTTGCTGGTACCACAGTATCACGTTGTAGCTTTGAATCTTATGGCTACAGCTGAAATTAACAGAATTATCAGGTCGGACCAACCGAGCAGGAGGACTCTGATTAACTTTGTTGCTGAGTGAGAGCCCTGCAAAGACAGAAGAGATTAGAAGATGTCCATCCACACTGATTATCAAAGATGATCAAAGTAAAACATGTACAGGACTTTGTTACCTGTCACCCATAGAAAAATAAGAAGAATGTTATGTCTTTGGAACATGTTGACAGCAGAATTTTATACAGAGAGAAATGTCACTGACTTTGAATACTTCTGGCAGACAGGAAGTGACGTTACTGAATATAAATGGGTGACGCTGCTGACAGGAGTGTCTGCTTGTCACAGACGTCATTTCTGACACCCCTCAATTGCAGGAGGACAAAACAATAAATATGTAAGTTTAATATTCGATTAGCTAAGAATGAGGTGGTAACACTACATTTAATCTCTAAAGGAATGTGTAAGAGTTTCTACCCCCAACAGATAATAGACAAACAAAAGAATATGATGTGCAGAAATAAACACATTTTTTTGTTTACTGTACAGCCAGAGGTACTGAAACTGCAAATAATATTGGGGTTTAATCAGTAATTAACAATTGTTTAGAAGCTCACACTTGTCAGAAGAAGAAATCTATTAAATCATTAGCTTACCTGAAATTTCAGTTTGTGAGATTTGAGTAACTATAGTATATTTGATGTTGTAGTTGTAGCTTAATAAAGGTCCAGCCCAGTAAATACAGTGTATGTTCACAACAACCAGGTTTAATTAACATTGGTTAATATCACCCATAATGAGCCACCCTTAGCTAGCTGTGATGGCATATGGAGACTCAGGAGACAATCCTGCAAGCATCCCCCCACCCCCCCACAAACGGTGAGGTTTGTTGAGGGAACATGGGAGTCCTACACCAAAGGGGGTCTGTTACGAGGTGACGGTCCCTTCAGGCTGGCCATCCTCCAGTATAAACTTCAGACGCCCACATGTGTCACTGGTTTCCCTTTCCCTATTCCCATGGCTTCATCCAGGTCAGGCTTTAAGCCCAGTTATGTTAAAATATCACTCTCTCCACTGGACTGACAGTCCATCCCTATATGTTTGCATTTAAGCATTTCACTCGGCTACATTAAATTCAGAATGCTGTCACAGTGTTTCTGTAAGTTGTCTACTTGAGTTATAGACCCCCCAACAGGAGAGATTAAGTACTGCAACTTTGATAAAACGTGACCTAATATTCATTCTTTTGTACAGCTGTGCAATCATTCTGCATCACTGTGTTGACTCACTGCACAGAAATACACACCACTGTCTTCTGGCTTCAAATTTTTCACTGAGAAAGATCCACTCTCAAAGTTATGTTTTTCAGCTTCATAATTGCTCTGGTCTAAATTCCCAAAGTCAGGTGTACCTCCAACAGCTGTAAACACAATGAGCTGCATGTTCTCCCCTGGGCGCTGGTGGTACCAGTACATTTGGAAGTAGGAAGCATCCTTGTTGTGGCTGCAGTTCATCTGGCTAGAATTCCCTATAGGAGCCCAGAGAATGGCTGGATTCTGTGTAACACCACTGCCTTCACCATGACCTGTAGGAAAATCAGTGTGAAAGAATGAAAAATGTAAGAAATCCCATGACTTGTATAAGGCTATGTGATATTTTTTTCTAAGTAAATAATTTTAGCTCTAAATTTCATAACCTTACCTTTCCACCAAAGCAAAATGACTGCAAATATGACAACTCTGGCCGTATTCATCTTCTGAGAGGAAACAGAGAAACAACAAACAGCACTAACCAGGACCTGAGGGAGGGAGGAAGTGATGGTGTGAATTTAAAAAGAGGAGGATGAGCTTCCCCCTTATTCCCCCCCCATCATGACCCCATTCTAAGGGCCCCAGAAGCTTTGGTCTCGCCTTGACAGTACAGGGCGATCGAGTGATGCTGGGATTTTAAGTCAAACGCTATTTTGAATTTCAGTTATTTCAGAAGTAGCAATGCAAACTATAAGAAATGTATGTGATATTTATGAACGACAGCTGTACTGTTTGAACTGGCACTGAATCAAAATATCTATAATGGTTTTGAGCACCTGTGTTGCTCTTTCTGGTTTCAAAGACGACACAAGCAGCAAAGAGTTTTTGTAGAAGAGACACAGAATCTTCAGAACTGTGTACTTGCTGCACAAAAATACACGGCCGTGTGTACATCTGTTACGTTCGCAATATGAAGAGATGCTTCTTCTCTCCCATCTCCAGTTATTTCAAAATTTTTTTGATAGGCTTCTTCAGTAGTATTGGCTTTGTTCCAAACATTTCCTATGAGTTTTAAATCATTGTCTTTTTGTTGCTGGTACCACAATATCATATCGTAGTTTTGAATATTATGGCTACAGCTGAATTTTACACGATCATTAGATTGGACCAACCGAGCAGGAGGACTCTGATTAACTTTGTTGCTGAGTGAGAGCCCTGCAAAGACAGAAGAGATTAGAAGATGTCCATCCACACTGATTATCAAAGATGATCAAAGTAAAACATGTACAGGACTTTGTTACCTGTCACCCATAGAAAAATAAGA